GCACAGTAAGTCAGATACACACATACAGTTTACCTCGGTACCGTTTTGCGGGAGCCGGTGCTTGTTCTGTCTATTATTCAGGCCAACATGCTTTCCTTATTGTCATGGTGCTTTTTAATTAGAAGAGAGTGGGAACTGGTGGATGGAGGGGGGACCATACCTCAGTAGTTCAGCCTTCCAGAGACTCAGGGACAAAAAGGGCATTTTTCAAGGTCTAAACCCACCCTCCCCTCATATGCACAGCCATCTCTAAGTCCCCAGCCACCCTTGAGAGGGAAGCACAGCCTTCCATGTGCATAAAGTTGAAATAAACTGCAGTCTGTATTTTCATTGGGGAAAGTGAACCCAATTTACACGCTGCTCCATTGGAGATGAGCACTCTAGCGTACCCTAGCTGGTAATCTTGCCCAGATTCCCCCTTTGTGTCCTGCATTATTGTTGAAATAAATAACCTTTCACTGCAATCAGTGTGGGGATCTTCACTTAAATTATCGCCCCACAGATAGCTCACTCATGATCTGCTTCTATATCCATTAACTATCCGGGAAAGTGATTTATTGGTGAAGGGTAAGAAAAAAGGGAATGAGGAAAAGCAGAGGGGTGAGTTTGGTTAGACAATAGTGCCCTCTACTGTTCGCAAAGTGGATCGCCTTGACAGAGAGGGGGGGGGGGCTGTGGAGACTGGCACTGATAACATCTTCAGCAGGGATGATGTGATGGAGTTTTGGAAATGGGTTTTGTGTCTCCTCCAAACTGAAAGTAGCTCTTAAACATGCAAACCTTTATGCAGAATGAGCAAAGTGAAGGAAAACACATGCAGTTTAAGAGCATCAGGAGACTAATTTAAGAATGTTTAAGCACCACAAAGGCCATTTGATTAATTCCTCTACTACAAAAACCACAGAGCTGAGGTGCAGCAAACTGTCACTCCAGGTGTAAGCATGGGCCTGGACATTATGGCCTCTCTCTCAGCAGCAATTCAAGCCAGGGCTCCAGTACCTACACCCCCCCCTCCACTCCGCTCCATCCCTCCATCCCCTCCTCCGCAGTCCCTCCTTCCCCACACTCCTGTGATGTGTCGTTACACGCTCGGCTGGCTCCTCTTCCATGACAGACTGTTACTTCCTGGAGCGGAAACGCATTTGATTGTTAACATCTGGGCCATTACAATTGCAAACTAGGGCTCTGTACATCAATCAGGAAGTGATTTCAAAACAAAGAGACCGTCCTCCAATCAATCTATTGGGAAGCGGGGGCATTACATGCTCCTGTAATCCCGGCTAATTAGCGGGATAATGGGAATGAGATTTATGAATCTGCTGAGGAGAGTGGAGGTGCGAGGGCACACTCAAATTAGCAGGGATGCACGCCAGCCAGGGCTGCAATAAGGAAGATGTGCTGTTGGTTTTTTATCAACTTCTTGCTGCCTGCCCACCTTTTGGTTGGTGTCACTGTGAAGGGAGCATTGCAGGGTAATGGACAGGCGGTGGTACAGCACATCAAACCTCTGCATTACACATCTGGCATTTCACAAACAAAGGAAGTGGTGTGCACGCTATTAAACAACAGCTTTAAATGACTGAGGTACATGAGATGTATTTCATATGTAGGAATGTTTACCTTTAGTTAATTACTGATAGACCAGCGGTTTTCTAAAACATCTTTATATTCATTAATTTTTTTGTCCTTGTGGCTAAAAAGCAGCCACTTTGAGAACCACAGCTACAGAAACAAGTCAGAGTTGGTGTGAAGATGAAGGCTTCAGTGCAGCATGCTAGGTAACCTGCAATCCAAGATATTCGAATTAAAACACTTAAAAATAGTTGCTTCCTTTTGGAAATCTTGAGTTCTCTATCTGTCTCTCTCTATTATAGACTAGCTATGTAAAAGTGCATCAAGAAAATCTAAAAACATACCCAAGTCTGATACGCATATTGTCTGTAATAGAACTAAATCTGACAGATAGATCCATTTCTTCTGTTTCCACAACAGTCTGCATGAGAGCGAGCGTATGCACGACACTTGCTGTGTGTGTGTGTGTGTGTGTGTGTGTGTGTGTGTGTGTGTGTGTGTGTGCGAGGCGGCGTCTCCCTGGAGGTGTCTGTCTCGGTGGCACCCTGAAGCCTCTTCCTCCCCAGCGGCCCCGGGCCTGACCTTGCCCGCTGGCGGGGGGACATCTCCCATTAAAGCAGTGCATTGTGATAAGGCCATTTCTTTTCCTTCAGCATCCCTTTAATGTCATCCCTGAAATATGAAGTCATTAAGCGATATTAAAACAGTGCTGACAAACTAATTAACAGAAGACATTATACGGGATGGGCTCGATTAATCCGCTTTAATTGCTCTTTTAAATGGGGGCTCCAATTAAAATTAATAAAGATTTACTGGTGATCACACCAAACTACACCAAGAAGTGGTTGTCTGAAGGGCAGCCTAAAGTCAGCGGCCTCCGTTCTCAAGTTACACTCCCTCTTGCTCCCAGCGCCCTCCCAGTGTGAGCCTGCCGGAAAAAAAAAAAAAAAAACCCATATCTGTGAGCGGGAGATTAAACGGAGGGACCGTCCCAGTGCCCCCAGTCCCACAGCTCCCATTGTCTGTAGCTCGGGGGTGTTTGATCCTGCCTTTGTCTTTCCAGGACCCTGCTAAAAAAGACACCAGCTCATTTATTTTTTATTAATTTTAACACCACACAGACTCTGCAGCATCAGCTCCCCAAACACCCAGATTTATCAAATAGGAATTTGTTTTATGATGGTTTTTCCACTTTTTTTTTCTTTCTGTTTGACTGTTTGCTGTCTTCATTCTTCTCTGCAGCCGCTCAGCTTCTACACAGGGACAAGTGCACCCCCGTGTGGAGAACAGTGCACATGACAGGAAGCTGATTCTGTGTGTTTAATTGTTTGAAACACACATTTACAGAGCAGAAAACATTTTACTGTGATTGATTATAATGTTAAATGAAAGTATTTAGCACACCAGAAAGTATCGTATCTGTGACGTCGGGGTGGAATCAGCTGATTTCGAGGCGAGCTGAGCTGTTTGTGTTACAGCAGAGATTCACTAGATGATGCTGTTACTCTTCTCTGAGCAGCTTCATCTCATATTCCTCTCATTTTCTTTACGCCGTCTCTTTCGGAGTAAGAAAACTTCGCAAACAGCATCAGCGTTTTATAATAATGTGAAATTCAAAGAGGTCAAACTCATAGAACATCTGCTCCGACGGTGTTTTTGTTTTAATTTTTTTTCTCGCCCGCTTTACTTTCCATTTCATCTTCATTACAAAGCAGGCTCTGTTTTATCTGAGACTCTCGAATACAGAACATAATTTCATATCGTGCCGTTTAAGTTGAGGCCCTGTCCGCCAGAGGCAGTTGAACAACTGAAGGTATTTTTCTTTGTTTTCTTTCATTATACCAGAGGTTACCAAGTCTTGTTCAGAAAATGTCACACAACAAATTAATTTGAGCAAAGCACTTTGGTTCAATCAGAGGCATTTTAATTGAGTTGAGAATGCAAATCAATTTACTGAAGAAGACTGATCTAATTGAAAAGGAATGTCTATTAAAAGATTAGTGAGGTTTATTGTCTCCAGTCTTTGTCATCAACCAATCCAACTAATGTTTTAATTTCCTTAATGTTATCATTTCTGATGTAATTGGTGCTTGGGTGCCTAACAGGTTTTCCAATTAAATGTTTGGTTTTGGGCGCTGACATTGTAATCTCTCACGGCGACAAGAAACTGTGCACTTTCATAAGAGCGCTCCATGCAATTGTGCAGCGCTTCTTTATTTATTTATTTCAAATGCAGTTTGTGGCCTTTGTGAAAAAGTTTTAAGGGGATGAAATAACAGCAACAGGCAACGTGTTGGACAACTTCACAGGTGGCGGCGATTTCACTTTATCACATTTAATTCACCCGAAGGCATCAAGAACTCGCCCATCTGCTGCCTTTTTTTTCATGACACCACCGGACTTGCGGCTTGCTCCGAGCGGGTGCCTGGAAGAAAGAGTTAACGCGCTCGTGGAATTTTGCTTTGGTGGCACAACCGCGATATGAGGTCACCTCGGGCATTAGTCATTAGGAGGGAATGCATTGTGGCTGTTTTTAAGACATGGCAGTTGTCCGCATCCGCACCGGCCACACAATGAATGCAGGCCTTAGAAAGTTGACTTGAATTGGCTCCGGTGAACAATGTGAACGGCATAGTTTGTGGGGGACATTTAACAGCTGGCTGCTGGACGTGGATTAGAGGCACCTGAGGGGCTCGACGCTCAGAGCGTTTGCACGGGAGAGTTCAGCGTTTGCAAGGGAAAAAATAAAGCATTTACCTGTTGGGCTTGTTTCTTATAGGATGTGGTCATGTAGTGTGCATTGTTTTAAAAAAGAAAAGAAGAAGAGCATTTTATATTATAATTTAGTGCATCTTTAATTTCCATAATCATCCAGTACAATGTTTGCGACAGAAACAGGGATTGTTCTTTACACGAGCCGAACCTTCACACATGATAATAAAAACCGTCACAGCCACTTATTTCCACATGCATTCCGCCGAGCTCATAGTTTACAACATAATTAAAGTACATAATGCAACACACAACAGCGGCGCATGTACATGTACACGACACACACACACGGCTATGAAATGAAACAGAATTCAAAACTAATACTGACAGTGATTGGCAAAAAGAAAAAAGAAGAAAAAAAACTCAGGCTATGAAGGATTACATCTTTGTAAACATTTTTTTTACACACCTACAAACTCAGTAAATCTAAAAGGCAGATTATATAAGGAAACACTAAACAATAAATCCACGAGAGCATCACTATTTATTATCGTTTGCTTTTTTTTTTTTAAATCTTTGATAAAAGCAAAGCACAGTATTTCAGACTATATTCTAACTTGTAAAAGGGTGTGTTTGGGAGGTTGGTGGTGTTTTTTTTTTTTCTTTTTATACAAATTTAATCTACATTTCACCTCACTAAAATGCACTACAAGAAATGATGAAATGTCAAATTTCCAAAAAACCACTTCATCTGTACATTTCTCTGCCTATAAGTAGGAAGAAGTCTTGAACTCTTCGGGCACGTCGCTGTCCAGTTTGCAGATCACCTTGTATATGGCCTTTTTCCAGGAGGGGTCCGAATCTTTGGCTGCAGAAACGGCGTTGTAAAACTCGTGCAAGGTGATTTCGGCGACCTCCAGGAACCTGTCGGGCACCTGGAAGAGAAAGGATGAAGCGATGCGTTATATGGCGGTGGAAGCCTTGTTCTTTTTTGCTGCACGATCTGTCTTCAGTTTTCTCAAAGTCAAAAATATATGAAATGAAGACCTGTAGCGCAATTCTTCAAACACTGAAACTGATGAAAGGGAGTTCGTCTCTTTGTTCTCTGCGCACATACAACAAATGCAATGCTGCAATCATTAACTTTCAATTAGAGGCCTCTTTGATTAGCTAGTCTTGTTGTCTTGAACCTGTACTAACTAACTGAGCTTTCTTTCCAGGGATTCTCAACAGCACAGCGTGAATCCCAGCAGGAATATGGCAATAGGCTAAATATTTAAATAACTACGCTCAGGTACAAGACATCAGATGGATAAGTTTAGTTGTACAGTTTGGTTGGTGCGGCTAAAGCTGGGGTTCAGATGCAAGGGATGCTGGGAGAAAACCATCTGCCGCACTTGTTTCCCATCCACTGGCCGGTTAGCGCAACACTTGTTGGCATAAGTTATTTTTCTTTCCCCTCATCTCCCGACACAAAAGCATCCCTGGGAAAGGAATGTCTTGGTCCCAAGGTAAAGAAAACGGTCTCATCCCTTTCCCACCGAACGGCCTTCTCCCTCGGAATCCACAGCGTCTTTCTCAGCATTCCGCATCAGTAGCAATCTCTGTCTCGCTCAGGCGTACTGGTCCTCTAATCCTGAGTTGTTTTAGTGGGATTTTGCGGCTTCCTCTTCCCACAGTTTGATAAAGCATCACTCTGGAGTTTAGATAATGGCTGTAAAGGCTGGCCAGCCACAGGTGCAGTGTGACACACAGGTCAGACATACATGAGCACAGCCAGGCCTGACATACTTCTGCAGGTCAGTAACCGAAGAATGCGTCGACTCGGGCGCGATGAATGAATAGTTTTGCTTATTGGTGGAGAGTTAGATGAGTAGATTGATCTCCCTCTTGTATCTGTTTGGTAAATAAATGAGGCTACAACCTGCTTTGCTTCGCTCAGGCTGGAAACAAGGAGGCAAAAGCAACAAAATCTGACTGATATCTCTAAAAATCACAATTTAAGTTATTCTGGGCAAAAACAACTATTTCCATTTTTATTCCTCGGCACCAGGACCCTCTTGGAGTCTCTGCAAGCAACTGCACAGAGTCGATACTCGGACACATCACCTCTCCAATAAAATCACAAATTGAAGAGTGTGTTAATTAAGCAGCTTTAGACGTGTTTCCAGTCTTTGTGCTGAACTAACCAGCTGGTGGTTGTAGTTACATATTGACTGGAGAGAGGTATTGATCTTCTCATCTAAGCCTCCACCGGAAAACAAAACCAGCTCAGGAAGCTCAATAACATTTAGAGTTTTTTCCTTGAATTATTATTATGGCAGAAAAAAATAAATCCAAATTATTAGGGATGATGAATACAAGCATATTAAAGAATCCTCCTTTATCTGCAGCACAGTGTCTGTACAGTATGAGAGGAGGAACTCATTTGAAAAAAACAACAGTGCAACATAAAAGAGAAGAGACGTCTAATAAGCGGCACTTACGTGGAAGTCATTGGCTTTATTGTAGTGCATGTTCAGCGCCCGGAAGAGCTCGGAGTCCCTGCTAACCGTAATGTCTTTGACATCGCTGACGCCGTCGACGATGGCCTGCCGGGCGAACTTCTCCATCTGGATGTAGTAGAACTCCCTAAAGTTACTGAACCACTTGATCAGCTGAGAGGTGATGCAGCGATTGAACTGGAAGTGGAGAGAAAACAGCGTTTGACTTTTATGCCGCTCGGATCGTGTTTACAGCAACGAGATTAAAGGAACGAGCCTGTAACTGAAGCAAGAGAATCTGCCGAGTCTCCTTAAATAAGACAGTGAATGGAAGAAGAAGTGACTTTTCTGCTGCTGACTCGAATCCTTGCAATAAAAGCCAATAATAAATAATAAAAAAAAACGGAGACCGTTCTTGAAATGGAATTTATTAATTTCAGAATTCAATTACAGACTTGGATGAGTAGAATATGAATCTCCGTGCTTTCCCATTAAGAGTTGAACGGCTGTGTCTTGTTTTGGCATGAGCAGGCCTTTCCATTATTGACTAAAAACCTGATTTTAGTACCTGCAGGGCAAAATGCCACCTAATGGTCTGTCACTCTATGCAACATTAATTGCTCTGATCCTTTCCCACCAATGTCCGCGATGAAAAAACATCTGTCAGGGCTCTGTGTTTCTAAACTCAGTCTTGACATTAGTCTTGTTATTCTATCTCGTCATCCAGAAAGACAGAAAAAAATGCCTAAGGGCTGGGCAGGCATCAAAGACGCTTCTTCTCTCTGGTGTGGTGGGTGAGAAAGCGGCAGCATAAGGACAGAAGGAAGCTTCCCTCTCATTGACTCGGGCTGATAGGATGGAATCAGACACTGGGATTAGGTGCTCTTTTGTTCAGTGCCACTTCCCACCACAGGATTGTAAGCAAGGAGGAGACGTTCGCAGGGCTGCAGCAACAGCATCCTCCCCCCTGACCCCGGGGGTCAGAGCAGATCGGGAGGCAGGGGCCCTGCTCTGGCTCGGAGATCCAGGAGACGAGATAGGAGAGGAGAAGGAAGTTGAATATTAGACGGGAGGCAGGAGAGGAGGTAGAGAAGTGTGACACCAGCAGGAAGGTAAAAAAAAGAAAGAAAGAAAGAAAGGAGCTGAGATACGTAAGGCTGAATGAGCAGCACACAGAGAAGGAGAGGACAATAAAGAGGAGACAGAAAAGAAAAGGGGTGACACGAGACCAAGGCCAAAACACACAGGATGTTGTGTTTAGGACCAGCTCACCACCGCCTGGTTGCCACCGCACAAGTCTCTAATACCAACTCTGTGTTGACACTCAATAGCAATGCCTTGCCTACAGAGTCCTTTGTCAGTCCATTTGCTGACTGGAGTGGCTTTTTTTAAAGAGAGAATGCCCCTGTATCTCCCTCTGCCCCCAGGACATACTAGCAGCTCAGTGGCTTTGTTATTTAAACCCTCTGCGTTTTTGTTTCTCTCCTCCGACACACTGCTGACTTTTTTTCTGTCCCAAACACACACTGACAAGTAGATACCAGGGAGTCAAACGCAGGACAAACAGTTCTGTGGCTTGTTCAGACTTTTTAAAAAAAATAAAAATAAAAATGTAGAAGTAAGAGAAAATTACCTTGACGTCAGGGAAGAAGGTTTTGAGCACGTTGGAGCTGGGGTAGCGGGTGTAGAAGAACATGAGCTTTGCCTTCTTCAGATGGCTCGGGGTGAGACCTTCCTGGATGTTCACGTTTCACGTTAAGGAAAGGCGACAATTAAATAAAGCGCGCGGCGGCGGCAGCGTACAGTCGTGTTTGCAAAGTGATAGCAGAGCGGAGTATTGTGTTGCCTCCATCTTCAGCTAAATTGAATTTCACTAAAGAAGAGCTCGGCATTAACTAGGGAGTCAATAATGACCCTAACATGTGCTTATTGGCAAAACAGAATTACGAATTAGATTAGGGATTTTTAATTAGAGAGCAAAGCACTTCATGCCTGGCAGTTAGGACAGCTTGTTTGGAAATGTTTTGAAAAAAAGACGCCGATTTTCAGATGTAATTGGGTTGATTTAAAGACAGCATATGTTGCTGTATTTTTTTTTTTTTTTTAATTCGGGAAGCAAATATTTCACAGATAACATTTTCTTATATTGGACGCTACATTTAAATGAATTTAAATAAGAAAGAAGAAATCCCTTTGTCATTTGCTCGACACGTCCTGTATTACAACTAAAGAGAATGTTTCCTTTATTGCGAGTTTTAATAAATGCGATTCTTTCTCAAGTTTTCCCCCTTTGGCTATGAAGGTGCTCGGGACCATTTCCTCTGTAGTCCACCGCTTTGCCTTAGGTCATAATATTTCCTTATCAGGTCACCACACCACACATTTATTAGGGAACCCTACCTTTGAAATAAGGAAGTTTGGATGAAAGATTTATGTGGTATTGTTCAAAGAGAAGCACGGCTCTTTGCACTGTAAAGATAAAGCGAATCCTGAGAGGAGCCACATTATATTCCTCTCTAATGCCCGGCCACAAGACGATCAACAAAAACTTCTGGGATTGTTTGGAGGATTATTTAATAGCTGGAAATATCAATTATTCTCCAGGCAAATAATAATAGAATGTAGATGTAATTTAACTATAATAATTGGGGAAGTCTGCAAACTTTGATTTTAAAAAAAAACTCAAATATATTCAAATAATGGCACTTTTTTTTTTTTTTTAACCCCCCCTGAATAAAACACTCCTGAGTTCCTCTGAAGACAGAAACGCTGTTATTTGCACTCTACTTCAGTCGTGTACATTCTGACAAAGGCATCCAACAACAAATGCTCAAGACAAGAGCTCAAGTGTTATGGTTGGAAGGCACTTGTGGTTTCCACCAGCACTCAGATGTGACCTTTTAGATGCACCCCTATCACTCTGATGATGGAGAAATAGATCCTGCACCTTTTCAAGTCTGAAAAAACGACTCTTCCTGAAACAGAAACCGATGCTTTCTCTGCCTTTGAAAAATTGGCTTTTGTTCCTGGCAATTCTTATCAAAGCCTTGTATTCCTTTTTATTTGTCTTTTTCTAGACTTAAAGTCATTACTCTGCTCAGATTAAAGAAGATGCTATAATTTTCTATGGGGTTAGCGAGATCAAAGAAAAAATTCTCCTTGAAGTTTTGTTACTGGAACTGCCAATGCTGCAGCGAGCCTCATCCAGCCACTGTTCGAATGGAAAGAGCTGAAATACAGAGAGTTTGTATAAAATAGAAAGGTAAATAGAGTATATTTAAGAAATTATCAAGCACACTCTGCCGTGCTGTGCTGAGCTGTAGTACACAATAGTACCGAGAACATTCGAGTGTTCACTGAAAAAGTCTCGATTTGTGCTGCATGAATAAAATAAATAGAAAATCTTCAATACGGAAATATGGAATTAAACTGCTGTCATCTAATAATTGCTTTTTGGTGTTTGAACTGATCACATTTGGATACTTTCAGCAAACAAACATCATGCTACTGTTTGTATTTTCACTGTGATCATGGGAATAAAAGAGTTTTTCATCCTGCATCAACACAAGGCAAAAAAAAGTCTGTTCTAGCTCAAGTGAAAGGATATATTGAGGGACATGTAGGGGTTTCGTTCGGCCATGCTCTGCAGCTCGCCGCACTCGATCTTGACGTGAGGCAGACACAGGTTGTCCACCGTCACGGCCCCCAGGGAGGAGGGACGAGGGTGGTGGCCGAGGTGGCCCGACGTCACCTTGGACCTCATGGCGATGGTGTCCCAGGGCAGGTCCACCGAGTCCGGGGAGGTCCTGTCCATCGACGGGGGCATGCACGGGAGACCCCCGAAGTTGGAGTGGGGCCCGTACTTGAGAAGGTGCTCCAGGATGTGGCTGTCGTGCAGAGGGGTGCTGTAGTTGAACTGAAAGGGCGTCTGGTGCACCGGGTAGGGCCTCTTCACCGTCGGGGTGACCGAGCTCAGGGGGGCCGCCGCCGGCTTGCGGACCACCAGCGACAGCGCCTCCGTCTGGTCCTGCGGGCTTTGAGCCTCGGAGCTTTCATAGTACTCCAACGAGCGGGATTTGGCCGCGGCCTCCTCGGCCTGGGGCTGGTCGAGGGCGGAGCCGGCCTGCTGGCTCTTCCTGTCTGCGCCCATGCTGATCTCTGGCGACGCGCACATGCGCTGAGGAGGGGACAGGTCCAGTCCTGTGGAAGACGCCTTCTTGAACACCCGGTCCACGCAATCATTGACAGCCCTGGAGAGCTCCTGCTTCAGGGTTTCCTGTAGGTTCTGACTTTCTCTTTGGTGCACCAGATAACCGACTACCTTCATTCGCTCCTTACACTCTGCAGTCATCCTGCTGCTGTTCTTCCTCTCGAAATCATCTTCGCCGCTTAAGTAGCGTGACTCCTGCTCAAGGACGTCACGCTCAGCACCAGCTTCTGTGTCGTCTCTGTTGTCATATTCGGGATCCTCCTGGTTGTAAACTTGAAGGAACTTTTCCTGGAGCTGACGCAGGAGCCTTTGCATGCTGTGGAGCTGCTCTTTCAGCTTGTGACACTCCTCGTCCTTGCTGTTGCAGTTGTCAGTATTGCTGCTGCCAGGTTTCCTGCTCACCTGTCCTGCAGCGCTGTGCTCCTGATGCTGAGGCAACCTCTGCTTACGTTTGTTCTCCCTGTACGCCTCTCTGGCCTCCCTGGAGTCTCTGGCGTCTGTGTCAGACCTCTCGCTGTCTCCGTGCTGCCTGCTGTTGGGGGATCCAGCCATGACCCTGATAATGTTCTCCACTCTGGCCCTCTTGGCCTGCAGGTGATCGGTGATGGGATGCTCTCCTTCCGGGCTGGCTCCTGTGGAGACGTGACCGCTGGGGGATGCAGCTTCCACGGCGCTGTCCTTTGAGGAGACGCTGCTCTGGTCCTCCGGGCCGGAGTCAGCAGCAGTGGAGCTGGAGAGGTAGAAATGGCTTTCATCTAGTGCCCTCTTGTTGTGGATTGTCTTGCGGAGGAGCTGAGAAATGATCGATCCGTTTGAGTACGAGGCCAGAGGCTCGTCGTACATGTTTCGGCGGAAGCAGGGCAGCATGACATCAGGCTTGTCGTCTTCCAGGCAGCCTTCGCCCGAGCTGTGCATGTTCTGATCAGGAAGACTGAGGTTCATGCTCGCTGTAGGGCTTCACACGACACACGATGAAGAACGAGAGCTATGAGATACACAAGAATCTGAAAAAAAACAGACATCCAGAACGCAGTTTAGATAATAAATCACAAAACGAAATCATTTTAAAATAATTACACATGTGTAGCTCTTGTTCCCTTTTTATCTCCTACACTTTAAATAAAACTCACATTTTTAATAGTTGCAGGATAGTGTGAAAATAAACCTATAAGTCATATGACAGCACTACAGAATGTCTCCTTATGTTTTATATCAATGTGTAAAACGAGGACTCAAACCCAAACACACACGACACATGCTGCTGTCATTTTGTCAATAAAACTTGAAATCACACTCGTGATCTTACAATTACTACTTTTAACAAGCAAACAGTAACGTTACGACGATAGAAAAACCAAAGAGTCTGACATTATTTTCAAGATTCTCATTTCAGTTCAAAAAAATAATAAATCAATAAATACTCATCTTAAATAAGGGAGAGCATTCTTTTGTATCCTTTCATCTCTGGGTTGTTATAATGGTTGACGCAAAGGATAAAAAGAATTGTGATATAACCATGAAAGGTAAATTTCAGCTGATGAGAGCCTCAGACCGGGCAAAAGAAACGGTTCTCTCTGTGTGTGTATACATTATTTACAAGAGAAACTATCATGAAAAGCTCTTTGTATGGTTTTCATCTTAAGGAATAATCAAGATGATCATCACTGGTAAAAATAAATGAATAAATAAAATAAAACAATAAAGCTTTGCTGCCTGACTCTGCGGTCACTGAGCTTTATTCTCTGTGAGAATGTATTTAAAGGAACGTTTGTTATTACGACAGAAATTAATTAAAAATCCGTTTGTGCATACAAGTATAACTGATGGACTTCAGAGGAACAGACTGTACTTTATATTTTTACATTAGTCTGTGGATTCTATATTAGTAATTTATACAAGTTGATTTGAACTTGTGAGTCTGTTTATCTACTTTTAACACAGACAAACATTTTTACCAGATGAAGGAGGACAGAAAAATGTGACACAAGTCCAATTTTAAATAATTACTCTTGCAGTAGAGGAAATATAGTTTCCTTCAGTCTTTACAGTTTGAAAATGTTCTGCAATATGTGGCTGAAAACAAGTGTTAAGTAAATAAATGGTGCATTAGCTGATGCCTACAGAATGAGGAAGAGCAAAAAAAAACACAGTTGATTTTTTGTTTTTCAAAATTGAACCAATTTACACATTAATCTTACAAATTATTATAATTAGAATGTTTTCTACTTTTAAACAAAAAATAAATACACATTTAAAAGCAAATTTAAACGTACACAACCTGAGAAAAATGTCCAAATAATATAAAACTAACACTTAAATGTGCTTAAAGCTGCACTCTTAAACAAAAATAAATTAAGTATAAAGCATGCGTGAGTTATCAAACCCCCACAAAAGCGAATCTACCGCATGGAAAAGCGGAACAAGTGCAGTGGTGAGTTCTGAAACACTCCTACAGACGCACAGTGAACTTACCTGTTGCGCCGGGACGTGCTGCCGAGCTGCTGGCCTGCGCGCACTGCCGGTTGGGCGGCGAGAGTGCAGCAGAGTCGCTGCGTGCATGAGCCGGAGCTGGGGCGTGGCCATGTGGAGGCACCGTGGAGGCTCGTGGCCTCATCAGGCATGAAAAGTGTGAAAACAAGAAGGTTGCTCTCTCCTGTGTCAGCCCACTCGTGATGGTTAGAGAGTGAGTTTCACACAGGATGGACACAGATGAGGCATTTACGGGTTATTCACGAGCTATTATTCATCTATTACTGGAAACAAGAAGAAGAAGAAAACAAAACTTAATCAGCGTTGTAATGATGCAGGCCTACATAAAAACAAAAAAAATAATTGTTTAAATAAGGAGATCACCTTAGTTATGTGTGGTTGTTGGACAGGTTGAAATGCAACACACACTCTGTGACACATCAGAAAGGAATTTACTCAGATCAACTCATCTTTTCTAGTTGAATGAATGAGTTTTGCTTCTTTTTTAGTAGCGTCTGTAAATCAGGGGTCCAATCCTGGTCCTGGAGGGCTACAGTCCTGCAAGTTGTAGATGTTTCCCTCTTCCAGCACACCTGATTCAAATGATCAGGATTGTTCTTCTGCAGAGCTTGATGATGAGCTGATCATTTGAATCAGGTGTGTTGGAAGAGGGAAACATCTAAAACATGCAGGACTGTGGCCCTCCAGGACCAGAACTGGACGCCCCTGCTGTAAATAAAAGCACTCAGTGTGAAATAAAGAAGAAACGTTTTAAACATACCGGAAAATTAAAGCATGTTTGGGTGTAAACATTGTCTACGTCTCTCCTTGATTCAACTTATTATTTTGAGCTTATGGAACTTGTTTTTTCAAGTTCAGTTAATTTTATGCTTTTACGTATTTCTTTATATGTACTTTCAATTATCTTATTATTTTTATATCTTTATCTTGTACATTGTACCTCGCTGTATATTTATTGTCGCACCAACCCACCAGAGCAAACTCCTCGTATTGTGTAAACTACACCCGGTAATAAATCTGTTTCTGATTCTGATAAGACGAGTTTGAACTAATAAAGCAATCAAAGTGCAGCTAACTCACATTTTGAAGGCAGCAGGGGAACGTAGGTTCCTACACTGAATGAGCACAAAGAAGAAATGGATAGAAATCAGAGTTCAATACGTTAACGATGAATAAAAATGTGAAATTATACAATTTATACTCAGAGCTGAATGTCCGAACTCAATTAGCTTTATCATTTATAAAAGTCACCTCACTTCTCTGCACCTTACATTTCCTTGTTCTGTTCCTGTTCCACTTGAAATCTGTTCAATCCTGCTTTTAAGTATGTTTAACCCTATTCAGGACTTTGGGGGTCTTTTGGACCCCAGGCCATTTGATTCTGAAGATTTTTTTTTTCTTAAATGTAAAAAGAGGGACATTTGTCGTGCATTGGAACCAAAAATACTCAACTTATCAGAAAATGTGTTAGTGTAAAAGTCTATAATGAATACAAAGAAATATTTTGCACATATTCTTAGTTGGGGTCCAATGAAGCCCGAAAGACCTTCAACGTCTGGAACATGAAAGTCCTGAATAGGGCTAATAAACAGTCTAAAGACAGCTTTTTTTTTCAATTTCTTCAATCAGTTTTATTTTATAAAGTCTGGTCTAAACTACCAGTATATTTATGAAACTTGTCTGCAGTTGTATTCAGTTCTTTTTATTCCTTTTTTTTTCCATTTTATCGCATAGGTCATCTTTCATATGTTTTTATTTATCTTATCTTTAGTTATGAGTTAATAAAACTAAATTATTCTTCAGCCTCTATAAGCTGTTGAAGTTGTCTTATTGAATGTATTTATTGATATCATTTGACTCATTCACTGGCTGTATTTTTGCATGTTTTTTTCTTGCTTTTTAAACATTTTTAATCCCTCCTGTGTGTGATAAAGTGATGTGGAAATAAATTTATTTGCTTTTGTTGCAGCACACAGGAAACATGCACATGTGGCTGAATGTCTGCTGCGTTTCTCTTTATTTTGCAGATGATGGATGATTGCTCTGTGGGGTCACACAGCTCGAGGAGGTCAGACTGGACCACAGCGAGGACTCCCCCCTCCTCCTCCTCCTCTCCTCCCCCCCTCTCCGCTCGGAGCACTTGGTTTGTCCCACACTACTTCCTCGGTCACTGCGCGTGCCTCGCCTAGCTTGTCGCTGTGACCGGAGTTTCCCTTCCGCTGACAGGCTGCTGTCACACAGCTACCATGTTATCCCATTCCCGGTGTCTCACCAGGAATTTTGGCCGTTCCCTCTCTGCCATCCGCCAGGTAGGCAACAAACAAATAAAGCGTTGCCACTCGCTCCTCGCTGCCTCCGGCTGCGGGCGGAGCCGCAGCTTGCCCTGCTCTGTCAGCGCTAGCATTAGCATTAGCCCGTTCGCCGCTGTAGGCCACGGACAGGCCGTAACATTGTGAGCCAAGGACAGTATGACACTTTCCTCCACAAGTCTTTGCTGCAGCCCCCCTAGTTAAAGTCACCTGCGGGGCCCGTGTGTACTGGCTCGGTGTCGGCTTTAGATGTGATTGCTGGATGTTTTTTTTCACCAAAGCAAAAAGTAGCTGTTCCTTGTTCACGTTAAAGTCAATGCACTTGTCCAATAATATTTAGGTAGCGCCCAAGAACGTGCTAGCCAAACTAAGCTAAGTGTACGGGTAGGTTAGCTAGCTGCTAGCTGTCATCACACCGAGGTCATGTTATGAGAATTAAGAGAAAACAACCAGGCGAGCTAACTTAAAGCAAATATGAGGTTATTTTATTTGACTTTCTGTAGTTGCGTTAGAAACTGAGGCAGTGAAATCTAATGTCAGCCCTGCTAACCATCTGGGTGCTTGTTGGTAGGATTAGTAGTAGATAATTGAGCTCTAATGCAGCTGTTAAATTAGATGTCTAGTTAAAAACACCCTCATGCATTCGCTGGTCAAGACCTCATGTTTAAACCACTGTTGTGTGCTCCATAGTTGTATTGATCGTGTCAGAGGTCATCGTCCAGCGTGTAGAAGTGACTTTTGGCCAGCAGCACTGATTTCTCTCCTCCTGCTGCTGCCATTTTTAAACAGAACCAACTGTTAAACATTGAAGTTAACCAGCTTGAGTGCATGTCGTACCAGCCCCCTGTCATGACTGTCAAACATTAAACATATCCTTCTGTACCAAGAGGAATGTTTTTGTAATGGTTGTGTCTTTTCACAGGGGAATAATGTGTTAGCTCGTCGGGCTGCTGGAGGTACGTGTGCTCGCTGCTCAAACTTGAAGTCACTCCATTTTCTCAAGAAGTTATTTACATGCTTCTCCCGTCCTTCTCCTTGCAGCTCTATCAGCAAGCCCTCCTATCACTTTCAACAACAATGTGTGAGTACGATGCAAAGAGACGGAGAGCTGCGCTGTCAGAGTTCAAGGACACCTTTCACGCTACAGACATAAATGTGTTTAATTGGACAGCATTCAGCCCCTACTTGAAGTATCGTAACCTCGGCACCTTATCATAAACCTACTTTCCAAATATCTGTGTCTCTGTCTGATAGCCAGCAGCATCTGTCTCCTGTGTAAATGATTAATTACAAATAGTGTGTGACATTTTTAGGGGGTTTCTGATTAATTTTTTTATTTTATTTTTCAGAAAATACGATCCCCGATCCAGTGTCTTCCAAATCCAGTACTTCAGGACATCTGTAGCCTACAGTATGTTTTAGACTTTCAGTTTTGCACTTGTTTGAATGTAAAGTATAAGAACTAATGTGGAGCGAAGGAGGCTTTCTTTGACCCGTCTCTTTGTCTTCCAGGAGATGAAGTTGTCACAGTCAAGACTCCGGCATTTGCGGAATCTGTCACAGAGGGGGATGTGAGGTGGGAGAAAGGTAATGCTTTTAATTAATCCCTACCCATGAGTTGGTTCTAATACAGACACCAGACAGAATCTAAAACAAAATGTTCTTCTTGCAGCTGTCGGCGACACCGTCTCTGAGGATGAGGTGGTGTGCGAAATTGAGACTGATAAGGTAAAGCTTATGTAAATACCAAACAAACTCGATTCATTTGTGGTTGCTGAAGATTGTTGGGCTTTGTTTTTGAAAGTGAAACCTTTAGAGTATGTAGCACAAATGAATGAAATATTTAGGACATGTTGCCTCTTTCTTGTATTGCTATTTTCTCTTTAATGCTTGATAAAGTCATTAATGTTTTATTTTAATTATATTTACACTTTAGTTTGCATACATGGACTTTGCAGCAAGCAAATTATATTATATTGTATTTAGAAAATATCCTTTATCTTTACAATTCTGTTTCAAACTTGTGATTATTTTTGCCTCTTTTCTTTTTACTTTATTTCTTCGGTGCTATCAGACATCAGTGCAGGTTCCTGCTCCTGCTGCTGGAGTGATTGAGGAGCTTCTGGTCCCGGATGGAGGCAAGGTGGAAGGAGGAACTCCGCTTTTCAAGCTTAGAAAAGGAGGTTTGTGGAACTACATTTTTTTTACTGAGAGCAACAACAAAGCTGAAAACAACCCTGTTTAGCCCATGTCGTCCCAACTGTTCACGTCTGTGTTTTTAGCTGGTGCTCCCAAAGCCGCAGAAGCTCCAAAAGCCGAGGCCCCGGCCACTGCAGCCACTCCGCCACCTTCTGCTGCCCCGCCTCCACCTCCTCCCCCCTCAGCCGTGGGCCCCATTCCCACCGCCATGCCCTCTGTGCCACCTGTGCCAGCACATGCTATGGACACCAAACCAGGTTAGTTGTCATCAGACAGACGGTCCGTGTCATGTGAGAACTGTTTTGCGTGACATCTGCGTTCGTGACCTCTAGCTTACGTGATTAATCATTGTTCGGCGTTCTGTGGGCAGCAGCTTTCAGCAGTCTCACTGAATCTCTATCTCCACAGATACTGACTGCTTCTTAATATCTCTCTCATAGTTTCCGCTATCAAGCCCACCGCTGCTCCGACTGCCCCAGCGGCCCCCGCGGAGGGGGGGGCTAAAGCCGCCCGGACAGAGAGCAGGGTAAAGGGCAAATCACACAACATAATATTTAGGTGTAAATAATGACTTTTTGAGTTGTTTCATCGTGTAGTCGTGTAGAAAAAGCATTAAAAGAAAGTTAACTGAGACTGAAAACTGTTTTTTTTTTTTTTTTTTGTTTATTTTTTAACATTTAGGTTAAGATGAACCGCATGAGACTGAGAATTGCCCAGAGACTGAAAGAAGCCCAGAACACCTGTGCTATGCTGACTACGTTTAATGAGGTCGACATGAGGTAGGAAATTCTAAATTAGCTGACCTACATTATTAAAGCCTCGGTGCTTTTCTAGACGGTAAATGTACAACGTGCTCTGCCATGGTAGCACATGTACGCCACTGATGAGGGGAAAAACTTTACAGACTTTACGGTCAAATTCCATTCAGATATCTCTAAATGTGTGTGAGCACACGTTTGTTTGCGGTTTGCAGGATGCATACTGTTTGTATCGGTGTTAAAAGCCAAAACAACACTCGCACAAATGGTTATAGATTGAAATCTGCCAAATAGGAAAAGCTTTTTGAAACCCAATATCCTCTTAAACACTGGAATGTAAATATTTGGTGGTAATTCCATCTAAAACGAAGATAAGAATTGTTAAAACAGGTTTTATTAATTTACAAGGAAATGTTATTGTCTGCACTTGCCCCCCTGTGCTGAAGAGGACACTTTGAGGATTTCTTTTCCCCGCAAATGTGTGGTGTCAGCTTTCGGCTATTCAGGGTTTTCTATGTATCCTAATTTGATTGACATTGACGGTCTGGAGGAAGACTTCCCAGGCCAGGGCTCATCTGGAGCCGAAGGAGCTAGTCAGAACAGGAGGCTGGAGCATCTGCAGGGGCCCACAGAGACCTGTGCTCTGAGTGGAAGAGCTGCCTCAACCGATATGGGCTTTTATGACAGCCCAATAAGATTTACAGGCTCTAGAAAGTGAAGATTTTTATCGCTTCTTCTCTCCTTTCTCGGAGAGTCTGTGTCTTGGGAGGGGCTAATTATGTTAGCGGAGAAACCCTAGAGCTTCAACAGGGTTAGAGACAGGAAAACAAACAATTAAAAAGGGAGATACAAGAGAAAAATGAGCAATAGTGAAACAATTAGCAGGCCAGTTTCAATAGCTTTGTTCACCACTATCTGCAGCAGCATTCTTTTAAAGCCACCATAAATAAAAAAGAAGTATATATTTTTCTCCTGAAAACGACGTCATATTCGTGATTTGTATCCGTCAGCATGGCTACAACATTTGAATTATTATTTTTTGTATATCTCGGCTGTGTTGCTTATATATCGTACTAGCATTAGCCACTGATTGTAAGGATTTTAATAATATAAAGCTAGACTGTCAGAAGACTGTGCATACACGTTTGTGGCCCGTTGAATTGTCGACATTCTGGTGACAAACATATTTTCAACTAATGTTTCTGTTAGAAGCACATCTGCACTTTTAATCTTTTGTATAAAGGACTATTCAAGTCTTGCTAGACTTTATGCTAATCTTTTTCTTACAACATCCTCATTTATTAACTTTCAACCCAGCGTGTGACCTTTAACTTGTCTGTTGATACATATCCATTTTTTTTTCATTCTGTTTTCTCTCCAGCAACATCACAGAGATGAGGAAATCTTACAAAGATGCCTTCCTGAAAAAGCACAACATCAAGTTGGGCTTCATGTCTGCGTTTGTGAAGGCTGCTGCTTACGCTCTGTCTGACCAACCTGCTGTCAATGCCGGTATAGACATAACTTGAAAGGCTGTGAAACCTCACTGTGGGGTGTCACTCTGACTGTGTCTTTGCACGCTTGGCATCAAGTTGCTGCAAGTGTGTGTGGTTGAAGAAAAGATTTAAGTTTCAGTATATTTCATTGCTCAACCTCAAAAGCCACGCTAACTTATTTACTGCCCTGAGACCACCCTGACCTATTTAGACAGACCACAGAGAAGCGAGGGTGATCTGGATTGCTGCCTTTTAAAAGTCTATAATGGTCTGTGGGTTTTACGACCTGTTGGTGTAACTTGCACATGACAGAAAAAACTCAATCTTGGTGGCAAACGTGCTGATGAGTTACAGTTTAAATTTATGTTTTCTCTTTACAATCTTTACGTTCTGTATCTTGTTTCCAGTAATCGATGACACAACCAAAGAGATTGTGTACAGGGACTATGTTGACATCAGTGTGGCTGTGGCCACGCCAAAGGTAAGACGAGGGGAACATGTTGTGTGTTTGATAGCCCACTTGTTTCTAGAGTGAAGGGCAGAACGTGAGTCATGCGACTTCTCTCGCAGGGTTTGGTGGTTCCTGTAATCCGAAATGTGGAGGGAATGAATTTTACTGATATTGAGAAGGCCATCAACTTGTTGGGAGAAAAGGTAAGATTTTAAATCGTATATTATGAGACACTTGCTGTAGATTGTTTTTTATTTTTTGCAGTTGTTGTGAAATGTACTTATGTGGAAATGTTCTCATCACAGGCCCGTAAGAATGAGCTGGCCGTGGAGGACATGGACGGAGGGACCTTCACCATCAGCAACGGTGGCGTGTTTGGGTCCATGTTTGGCACACCTATAATCAACCCACCACAGTCTGCGATTTTAGGCATGCATGGCATCTTTGACAGGCCTGTTGCAGTCGGTGGCAAGGTTCGTGTCCTCACTGGGAGACCAACACCTGCATTACACCAATGAGTTGATAGAAAACAAGCTCTGTTTGGCCAGTTGTCCGTCAGGTTGTGCTTACATCCCATCCAACACGCACCGACCCACACCTCACGTGGTCTTAACTCGCCAACTTTTTTCAATATTCAGAGTTTTCATGTTGCTAATTAATAAGCTACTGAAGCACATCCCATAGGGGTCTGATCCTGTAGTTTTCACACAGACGGGTGCAGAACTGTACATTTTATCACTAATGCAGATACTTCAGTAGATTAGATCTGCAGCTTAAAGATGCTTTCATAACTGATTCTGCTGAATATATTCTTGATTGACAAATATTTTCACAGACAAAATGAAAGATAACTTTGAAAGAAAATGATGTTAAGACTCGACCAAATGTTGAAAACACAAAGACGTGGTAAGGAGGTCAGGGAAGTAGTGAATGTTTGACACTTTTACTTTAAAAATGACTGAAAGAAATAGTTTAAGAATCAGTTATCTGCAGTTTTATATCTGTGCAAATCAAAACAAGCTGATGTAATCATTGTCTTTATTAAGTTAACCTTGAAGAAAACAAATTACCAGTTTATTATACGTGCAAAATTCTGTTCGGCGTTATGAGGGATTCGGTCTCAGTGATTTTTCCTCTTGTCCAGGTGGAGATCCGTCCCATGATGTACGTCGCCCTGACGTACGATCATCGCCTAATCGATGGAAGAGAGGCCGTCACTTTCCTGCGCAAGATCAAGTCGGTGGTAGAGGACCCCAGGGTGCTGCTCCTTGACATGTGAACCCCTGTGAAGTCCAGGCCCAACCAAACAAACCACCCCACACAAGCAGTGGCTGTACTCACCTGATGAACATTACCGTAACTGCAGTAAATGTATTGTTGTATTGGTTAACTAGTTAAAAAAAAAACAAAGGATTCTCGGAGAACAGTTGGGTTGTGCAATGGACGTTTGTAAGGTTGGAGGTGATAAACGTTTAGGTGAGATGTCTGGGTCTCGGGGTTCTGGTGCTGGTCTCTAGATCAAAAAAATGGATATAACTCATGTGCGCCATATGTCATTTTCTACATACAAGTAAAAGATTTTCCACTTATGTTAGGTGAATGGCAAATAGAGATAAAACCGCATACTTTAATTAAATTATTTTGGTTGAGAAAAGAACAATGAGCACGTATTGGGCTAGAAACGATGGAGCACTACGCTCCACAATCTCCAAAGTAAAGGAATCCTCAGAGAATTTATGCCATCCGTTTCACTAAATATGGGGGAAATTCTCTTTTTGCTGTGTAAGAAAGACTATTTAAGAAAAAAAAAAAGAGAAAGTTTTAAACAATAAAAGCTGCGTTACTCAACTGGAGTTTTTGTTTGGACGTTTTTTGTTTTTTTGTGGTTTCATCATGACAGAATAAACCAGGGGTGTAGATGTGGGTGGCTCATTTACACAGAATTTGCAGATGAGTCACACATACGCTGATTTTTTTGTATTAGCCTTAGTAAGGTGGTGAAGATAACCGCATTTGTGAGTGAAGTATTTCCTGTAACTTGTCTCCTGTATATACATCCATTGTCACCGGGTTCACAGGGGGCTGGAGTCTATCACAGGGCTACACTTAGAGACAGACAACCAAGCACTCTCACATTCACACCTCCGTTCAATTTAGAATTAACGTCAACATGTTTTTGGACTGTGTGGGAGAAAGCCGGAGAGAACCCACGCCGCACGGGGAGAACATGCAAACTCCAGAAAGATCCCTGGTGTCCTCACCGGGATGCGAACTGGTGACCCTCTTGGCAGCGGTGCGAACCATCAAACCACCTTGGAGCCCCCAGTACTGTGTAAAAGCTTCGGGTACTACAAGTGAGGATGCTTTCAAACGTAAGGAAGTCTTTATTTAAGAAATGCCTTCATGCAGAGTGAAGCAGGATAGAGCTCCAAGTCAGTATTTGGTGTGACCACCCTTTGCCTTTAACAGAGCATCAGTTGTCCTCGGGACACTTAGAACAGGGGTGTCGAACTCTGGTCCTCGAGGGCCGCAATCCTGCATGTTTTAGATGCTTCCCTCTTCCAACACACCCGATTCAAATGATCAGGATCGTTTTCAGGCTTCTGCAGAGCTTGATGATGAGCTGATCATTTGAATCAGGTGTGTTGGAAGATGGAAGCATCTAAAAACATGCAGGATTGCGGCCCTCGAGGACCAGAGTTCGCCACCCCTGACTTAGAATTTCAAGGTATTTGGAAAGTACAGCATACACAAGCGCTTGGACCGTGCTGTATGTCAACATTGGTTTCGATACGAAGCAAAGGGCTTTAAATGAACGTTTCATGTTAAAGTTACGTCTTGAAGCTGTGGACAGAGAAAACATGATGCTAATTGGGTGGACTGAGCCTTCATATTCAGTTTTTAATTCTAACCACTGACGAAAAAAAAACAAGGTGAGGAACCTGAAAAATGTGTCATCGCCACAGAACAAATTTCCCTGTTACCTCAGCATCAAGCGTATTAATCAGTTTTGTGTGTTTCGTGGTGAGGTTAATACGTGTCAGCCGGGTGCTTCAGAAATACTTCAGAATTGGCCTTTTTCTTACTGGTAACCCAGAAAAACAAAGTCTTTAGAAATTAAGCAAATTAAACTCTCAGGAATATGCAAAGAAGATGAAACAATTTATTGCCTCATTGTCTTTTTACACCGACGGTAGATAGTCCAAAAAAAAAAAAAAGGATAATGTCACAATTAAGTTTTAGGTGACATCAGTTGTCATGCATGGTGATAATAAATGTTCTTATGTAAAACTTAACTGTCAAAATTGTAGTTTCCATATGAGTGTCGGATGTGTAAAGTCATAGATCTCTTTTGTTTTTTGTGGGACATCGTTCACTAGTTTCAGTTTTTATTATATCACTTTTCTTTGGGAAGCACAAAACGCAACAGAAGACAGTATCTGGTGCTACATCCATCTGGGGCCACGTCAGGATGCTCGGATTCGTGCCGAGTGTTGGTCTTCAAGTGTAGCACGCTAGCAGCTCAGAGCTTTCCAGGAGACTCCGCTGAAGAAGGGATGACACTTGATGTCACTGACGCCTCCACCTCCGGAGCCCAGGCGGTAGCCGGCGTCGAACTGAAGCAACTGTGGAGCAGCGCAGAGTGCAGATACTGTGAGATTGAATGTCAGCGTGTTGGTGTGTGTGTGTATTTAGAGCAGAAGCCTTGTGGGTGTTTCAAGCCCAACATCTAACCTCAGTGAGCAGAGACGCAGCTGCAGTGCTCAGGTGGTCGGGGATGAGCAGCTGGGTGTGGGAGTGGATTCCTGCTGGATGGAGCTGCCACAGTGGCTGGAGGAGAAGAAGAACCAAACGTCAGAGTTTGTGGGAATGAACGTTAAACAGTGTATGTTTCTAGAACCTTTCGCTCACCATTCCTGTTAGAAGCTCAAACAGCAAAGCCCCAAGACTCCACCAATCACAAGCGTCTGTGATCCTCGACACCCCGCCGATTTCTGTCAAAGAGCAGAGTTTAGTTGCATTCATGAACAGCTTGTATTTTTTCATGAGGTGTTCCCCATCTTATTCAGAATAAAGTGGACCAGCTGCGTGTCACCACTAGGTGGCAGGTTTCTCCAAGGAGTAAGCCAGGAGTAAGGCATAGCTCTACCTGGAGCGCAGTACATCTGTTCCATGGCTCTGGAGCTGATCTCTGACTGAACTTCACTCCACTGGCTGAAAAATGTCAAACACACCTTCCCTGTAAAAACATCACAACAAGTTAAACTCAGAGCGTACAGTTTGTTTTCTTCAGATTGTTCCTTTTACGGTTACTTGATGGACTCACCGTTGCTGGTGAGCAGAACGTTCCTCGGGTTCAGATCCCGACACAGGATGCCTTGTTGATGCAGACTCTCCAGGGCCAACAGGATCTGCGCCCCCCAGACACGCACCTCAGCTTCGGGAAGCCCCCAGCAGGTCTGCATGGTCTTATCCGCAGGCCTGGTGGGCTTGACGGGGAACCGAGGCAAGTGGCACCAGCCGTCCACCTCTATGATCTGGTCCTCTCCCTGCCCCTCTGGTCCTTCTGGCTTGAGGAAAGCATCCACGTCTTCTCTCCTCGTGTGGGTCGCAGGTCCGATTGGGCCAGAGGAGAACCAGTCTACAAATGATCTCACTACTGGAGGTGCGCTCTTCTCTCGAGGACTCATCAGCTCACGGGCCTCCTCCACACCTTCTTTCGTCACATTGGAACATGTTTCCGTTTCATATTTGACTCCTGAAAGGGCCAAGGGAACCCTCTGGAATGTCCCTTGTTGTTCTGCAACGCTGTGGTGGACGGAGACAGACGAAGGCCAAGAACTTTCTGAGGTGATCTTTGTATCCGTGTGGTCAGAAAACACCGCTCTGTCCGTGCTCCTGAGGACGACCATTCCATTCCTTTCTTCTGCAGTGGGGCTGCTGCTGTCCTGCTTTGAGTCCGTCACTACTTCTACTTCGCTTAAAACAGATCCCTGGTGGGAGCCGTTGGTGTCCCACGACGCCCTGCCACGGATCTGGGTTTGGCAATGGAGAGGAAGATGCAAAATGGCAGGCGAGGAACTCAAGCCGTTATTTTCACTGTTCGGCGATCCCGCTTTTACAAATGAGGTCTGATTTGTATGAGGTGCAGTTCGGCCTAGTGTGCTTGGTGAGTCACTGTCAGTCACTGCATAGGGGTTTATTTTCTCACAGTTGTGCGCTGGATCCGCTGCTTTCCAAGCCACTTCGAAATCGGAGCTGCACTCTATCAGTCCCATCCCGGGTCTCCGTTTATGGAGTTCTGACATGACATCGAGAGCTTGACTGACACGAGCGCACGAGAGAGGAAGAGCGGGCTTTTCCTGAGTTTCGCTGGAGTGCAAACACAAACTGGGAGCTGGTGGATGGATGTGGGTGTTGACTTTTGTCCTCGTCGGGCCGGAATGCAGAGTTAGCCGATCGAGCTTGGTGTAAAACGACGCCGCGGAGCGAGTGTTCTGCAGGCAGCCTGTCTCTTCGATGTAGGAGTGAGTCCCGCAGCTTTCCAGTCGCTGCTGAGTCTCATCCCATGAGGTTATGAAGTCCGTGTCCGGGCTCTCGTCGCTTAGTTTCTCCGGAATCGCCGCTGTGCTCTGTCTGCTGTTGTGCTGGTAGTCTGTGCTGATTGTGGGCGAGGTGTGGCTGGTCTTCAGCTTGATGCTGTGCTGGCCAGAGGTGAAGCATTCCGGGTGTTCCTTGGCCTTCTCGTTTTTCAGCTTGTGCAGCTTGGAGAAGAGCCTCCCACCTGGAATAATACAAAAAAAATAAAAATTGATATTGTGCTTCATTTTCCATTTGTTCCAGCTGCATTGAGAGCAGCTGTTACCAGCTCACCTTTGACATGCTCGAGATGTAGGTACACAGCATCCTCACTGACGTAGTATCTTAGCAGCTTCACCATGTATGGCACCCCTTGAGGAATGATGGTTGGCTGGTCCCTGCTCTCCCAGCTCGACTTTACCAGGCTCTGCAAGAACATAAGATGCTCAACAAAGGGAAATATGCAATTCAGAAAGGGTGCATTCATATGTTTTTTTAAACTGCATTCATTCAGACATGGAAACAAGAAAAAATAAGACTGCTGCCTGGATTCCCCTTCAGAAATGAAAGCCCGTCTCTTGCCGTGTCTCTCTGGTCACTGAAATTTGAGGTGTGCTTCAACTGGCTAAAAGGGTGAGAGCTCTCAGGCAGATCAATGCGCGGTGATACTCAGGGAGACGGGATGGAGAGGGCTCCCATCGACTGGCCGGCCACTGAATACACAAGCTGGCTCGCTGCCCGACGGCAACCCCCAAAACATCTTCACCGTCAGTGGTTAGATATTAGCCAACGGATGTGTTTTTACTCATTTTCTGTATGCAATAAAGTATTTTACTCTGCAGTGCACACTCACCTTTACAACAAACGTCTCTTTGTTGATCATGCTTTGGACGATCAGGACCTGTGGGATGAAAATAAATGACATCCTCAGGCCACCGCAGCAAAGCAGGTAAGTTATTACAGCATCTTTCACCTGTGGTAGTGTTCATGGCTGGAATGCAGTTCACTGTTTACAGCCAGGAGTGCTCCTACGTCAAGTTTTATGTTGAAACAAATATGATGCATGGTGTGCATTACATTTAATGGTGCAGCCATGTGGTTGGGGTGAATAGCACACCCTGCAGTGAGCTCCTGGTTTGACTCCCGGCCCTTCAAGAACTTTACTGCATGTCTTTCCCCTGCTCTCTTTCCCCATATTCCCTGTCTGTGTCCGTCGCTTCTATCAAAAATGGTCCCTGAAAATTGATTTTTAAATGAAGTGTTCCTATTTTTCCCTCCTTTTGTTTTTTAATGGCGTAGACAAAATATTAAAGACACTACGGAACACTTTCAAACGCAGGTCAGTGCATCATCACCACCTGCCTCACTCAAACACATAAAACTTTCTGCAGGAAGCCGTAGTAGCTTTAGTAAAAGTAGGACTCGTGCTGGAGCTGTTGGATTCGATTCTCAGTCAAACGCTTACATATAAAAGCACCGAACCTGGGGGGATAGGGCCTTTCCTGTCCACCCTCACCCTCTGGAACTCTCTCCCACAACATATTCGTGACGCTACAGACTCAGTAATATTCAAATCTAAATTAAAAACTCACTTGTTTTCCCACCGAGGCCTTTATCTGGATATTTAGCGTTGTGTTTATCTGTTTGCTGTATTTCTATGTTTTCTACCTTTGTATTAGTTGCGTATTGTTTATTGCTTTTATCCTGTGAAGCGTCTCTGAGTTCTTGAAAAGCGCTATATAAATAAAAATGAATTATTATTATTATTATAAATGCGTATCAGTGTGTCATACCTTATCAGTCACTCCCACCACCTTGCACATCTCCAGATCCTCCACGGGTGAACTCAAGTGTCTGATTGGACGGAATCGCAGACTGCTGTAGCCCTGGCAATGAAAACCGCACAACTGTGAAATTGTGAAGACGAATTAGGTGTGATGTGTGACAGCAGACATTAAATGTTTCATCCAGTGTGAGAAGCAACACTGCCAGTGCTCGTTTATGCTTCTTCAACCAGAGGACAAGCCAGAAATGGTGACATTTTTTTTACCACTTATCCAGTCTTAGATTAACGTGGACCACTAAATGCGGCTCAATCACACACACAGACAGACGAGTCGATTTCTTTTCATAAATGATAGAAAGGATGGTTGTCTTACCCCTAAATGAGAGCTCCCCTTTCCCAGGTTGTCCTGCAGATGTGTTATAAAGATTTCTTCGGCTCTCTTCAGATACTGGGTTGTCTTCCTCTTCACAGCCTCCCGTCGGTCTTTGTTTGGATCCACTGTGAAAGAGCAAACTCTATCTGACGCCAGTAATCAAGAACACAACAGAAGCCCCTGTCCTGACTTAACCTTTGGCCTGATCTAAGATAAGAAACAGTAGCTAACTGCTGACACTGTTGTGGCCGGCGCTCAAATCTGTGCTTAACCTTTGGTTTGTGACTTCCTCTTTTTATTGGAGTCCACATGTTCCCGTCACGGGTCTTATGCAAGCGGTCAACTTCATATTTCCTGTTCATGTTATAATATAACCGTACTTACATTGAACCCCATTCAGCAGTAAGTCCACCCCATTCTTGTAGTAACTGAAAGCTGCCTCATAGTCCTCATTGACCTCACTATCCAGCGCCATGCGGATCTGTTTGGCCGCCTCCACCAGGTAATCTCTTTTTGCCATTGCTGCCTTGCTGAGGACCGGTCGAGGTCCAGGTGGGCCTGTGCACAGCATAAAACGTTTGGTTTTACCACTGAGGAGGGCTGAAGTCAGACACAGTCAAGATGTGAACAAACGAAACAGTTTATTAGATCAGAAACAGAAACTGAATCTTGAGTGAATACCACTGCTGCTCTTTATCTGTGGTCAAACTGTGGGACTCACCTTTGCTCCGTGGTCTTATCAACAGCAGGACACATCTCTGTGTGTGGTCACTGGGCTCGGTGTGCGTCTGCCCCCAGTGACTCCACAACTCAGGTCTTTGCAGCAGAGCATGATCATCTGAGCCAGTGGAAGCAAAGAGTTAACGCTCAGAGCAGAACAGGAAGTGAGTACAAGCGTCTGCTTACTATTTCTGATGAATGGAAGGAGGCAGAGCTGCAAATGTCCAACATGACAGACAGATGACTAAGAGCAACGACGTCTCATATTGTTTGGGTATTTCCATTATTTGTCCTTACAGCATGAAGAAAACCCAACGCTCCACCTGGAGAAGGTGTCAACACGCGCAAATCCTTCTACGTTATGAAGAACGCTACAAAAACATGTGAGCGTGTACGCCACTCTGCTGGTGTCTTCCACCCACACACTGCCACCATTCACATGAAATGGATCATTTACAGGGAGCAGCAAAGAAATGATTTGCTCACAACAGCCCTGCACATCACCATCATTACACCATGAATCTTCATCACATGACTGTATGTAAATGTATTACCAGACTGGCACCGAAGGCTGACTAAAACACCTCCCATATATCAAAATCTGATATTCCTTTTCCCCAGTTCAGCCAAAATCTGAACACACACATCACACCAATACACACCCCATCCTGGTTACAGCCATGGAGGCGACATCATCTAAGGAGTGTGATGAAACACACAAAGCCATCTTTAGTCCCCTCCTTTACTTATCCATCACCCTCTCAACATGCACCTCCACAGCCAGAGCAGGGAGTTGGCAGCTCGTCATGACAAACAGAAATAGCACAGAAAGCAGGAGCACACGAGCGGATACACGTCCCGTACCTGATGTGAGGCGAGCATGGCCTGGACCCTCCACCCCAGCGGCAGCATCAGCAGCAGCAGCAGCAGCAGCAGCAGCAGTCGTGTCTTCAGCAGCCAGAACGCATCCCAGGAGCAGGAGAGGAGGAGAGAGCACAGGCAAGGCTGCTGATTGGCTGAGCGTGATGTCACTTTAGGGTACCATTTCACACAAGGCGCTCACTTCCCCCCTCTCATCCTGACAGATGCTGGGAGATTTAAAGGGACAGTGCTGTTTTTGTGTGCACTGACTGAAGGCCATCTTTGAGTTTTTACCTCCAAAATGGATTGTGTTCAGATTTTACAGTTTTACCTAGTTTGAGGGATCGCATTAGAAATTAGTCCTTTTATATAATGATTTCTGTATATGTTTGGTGTCTGACTCTGAATGGGGGGGGGATCACCCTGCCCACGATTCATAATCTGCTGGGTGTTGGTGCTCAGTACCAGATGGAGCCAGGCTCCAAACCACAGCACAAAGGAGAGTCGCCCAGCTCCCCAAGGGAGGGCCGGCTTACAGAAGGGGGAGGAAACTCCAGTGTGGCCCAGAGAGAGGATGAAGAGAGAGGGCTGAGATCAGATGCTTATCCAAAAAGTAGAAAGGGAGGGGTCTGATTTATCTGGGGGTTTTTTCTTGTCCACATTCTCAAATGTCTATTCAGTCATCTTATTCTTATTTTACACACTTTTAAACTGACACTCATTTGAATGTTAATTTTGATTTTACACCAGAAACAACAGTGTAGTCACAGATATCTGATCTTAGAAAAAATCAGCAGATCAGGAACAAGAGGCAACGTTCTTTGTTAAACCTCACATTATAGGATAATAGCCATAGTTGTGAAGACTCTGATCAGAGGGATTGTAGAGCAGGTTGACAGATGAAATTTCTGAGGAGGGACACTTGTGTATTTCCCCGCTCCAGCATCAGTGGCATATAAGCAATAGATCTAGTTCAGATCCCCTGGCCTGGTGGCATACTTTCTCCACACACCATGAAAGCATTACCCACAATGCCCCACTGGTCCATTCATTCTCCGTACCAAAGGATTTCTCATCTATCCTGTAGCAACCACATTTTTACCCTTAACGTCCTCCGTGGCACACATTCCCTAAAACCCGTCCCGCTACTTTTTTGGTTAATAAGTACAAGTGAATGTTTTGCTTGCTTTTGGGATTTCTCTGTGGCTAAAAGCAGAAGAAGTCAAACTCTCTGAGCTCCGTCCTCAGCAACTCAAGTTTGATGTAATTGTGAGGGCTGCTCTCCACCATGGACCCTCTAACTGTCAGCTCCTTTAGCTCTCCCAAGACGACTTCTAGTTTGTCCGTGCAAGCTGAAAGACACGCACTTATTAGTTTGTGTACTGTGAGGCGATCGCAGTCATGCAGTTGAGTTTTACAGTTGATTTTTATCATTAGCAGCATAACAACAAGCCGAGACAGATTAAAAAATAAAAATAATAATTATATACTGTGTTAATTTCCCAGCAACAAATCCGTGGCCGATAATGTTTCATTTACACTTCTTAAAATCCTCTTTCATGGAGCTGGTTAAATATTAAAACACAGCATTATATGATGTATAAAACAAAGTTGTCCAGCTGTCAGTAAATCATAGTTCACTTTGATACTAACACAGCCTTAAGAACAAATGCACAGGGAGATATGAATAAGATAACAAAATTTCAGGGTGTACGGGACGTTAGGTTTCAAAGCTGCTATAAATGCGTATCTGGATAAGAACTACATACAGTATCTAAATGCACTTACACAGTCGGCCTTAAATGTATTCATCCCCTTCCATTAAAGAAAAGGCAAAATTCACAATAGTCACGCAAATAAGTAGAAACTGAAAAAAGTAGTAATAAATAAAAATTTGCTAAATTATAATTTAGTGAAATAAGACATTGCTTTTGATTTGTGGTTGAAAAGAATAATTTTAAAAAAAATTTTAAAAATGGACAAATTAGAGCACAACAAAATATTCGTTGGTCCCATCCTGCATGTTTTTTTTTTGTTTTTTTTTTTTTTTTATATTTCCGTTGAACCACAATTCAAAAGCAATGTCATGATTTTTATTAAATTTTTATTTATTATTACTTTTTATCAATTTCATCTTATTTCAGTGACAGCTGGTTGTTTTTCCTTCTTTAATGGGCGGATATAAATAGATCTGAGGACGACTGTATTTTTAATATATATGCAGGGCTGTGGTGGTCTCGTTGGCACTTTACTGTACAACAAAGCCTCAAACTCTGGCAGCACAGAACATGCTGGTATAAATATGGATAATGCAACTTGCACAGAAAACATTATTGAAGTTTATGCGTAAATTGATTTTATATCGGGTTCGCCATTTGTAACAGTCGTAAGAAAGTGTACATACTAGGACCATTAAATATTGATAAAAATGAATTCATATTCCACTCGTATAGGACATTAGTTATTACAGACTGGTTGCATTATTTTACATTAATTCCGATTAACGTTCTATTTCAGGGTTTTGAATCATTAGTATGAAGTATGTGATCACAGTTTTAATCTATCAGCAATCTGGTAAGAACTGAGATTCTTTCTCGTTACAACAAGTTGTCAAGAACTCACACAGAACAGGTGGACACAAACGCTCGACACAGAAGAGGTTCAGGCAAGAGGCAGGTTTAATAACGGGCAGGGTTCGGTACACAGGAGGTCAGCGAAACAGGCAGAGGTATCCAAAAACGAGAGGCGAAAGGCAAAACGAGGTCGTAAACAAGCAGACTGTGGCTATGAGGAATGCTGGTACGAAGACTGTGAAGTGCGAAGAACTGGCCACGAGACTGTGAGACACACAGGGTAATATATACACGAGGTAATGGGGGGAGATGGGAAACAGGTGAGCCATCAGGGAGCAGGTGTGACAAGGCGGATGCAGGAAGTAACATAAGGACAGAGACAACCAGTGATTTCAAAATAAAACAGGAAAGACAAAACATAAACTGTGCACACAACAGACAGAAACTTGACAGACATGACACAAGTATATGATAGAAATGTTGCTTTTTAAAATTTCCATACAATATAAACTGTAAGTATTGTCCGTTTTATACTCAGTTTATTTATCTGAGTCGGATCACAGCTACATTGGGTTGCACTCACTGTCAGGCAGAGACACGCTCCAGTCCTCCACCAGATGCGGTCACATTACTCGACTCCCGCTCATCCCCCAGCTGAAAGCAAAATCAGTAATTTTACTCATCTATTACACAGAATACAGTTTCACAAGAGCTCTCGAACGTCTTTGAAACTCACGAGCCGAGCCAGTTCAGGACTCAGTATAGAGGAAAAAAAACAGCAGTACAGTGAAAGAGATTACGTCTCTGCCTGTAAGTGTGTCTGGTTGACATAGATGTGATGGTGACTCTTATCTATGGGGTAATTAGATAATATTAACCGTTTTATCAGCATCCTTGAGATCCAGTGCAGGTGTGCATATTATCAGTACCATCACTGGACTTCTGTGGTTTTATGATTTCATGGAGGTTTTAGTTTATTGAGACACAGACTTAAATGGGGCATGTTCAGTGTAGCTGTTCCTTGTATTTGCATTTTTATATAAATGTCAAGACAGTGAACCAAAAGAAATCTAGTGTAGCTTAACTTGATTTGAGAGAATATTTTTATGGAGAGAAAATTATTTATTTAGTGCCAAAAATAGTCAAAGTTTTTTGAAAAGAAAAAACAAAACAAAAGAAACACCACCACCATATATAGTGCAGTAGTTTTATCTGAAGTGGGGATGCATATGTTTATTCACCATT